AATGTCCTCTCTGTCCAGATACGTGGGCTTAGCAAATCTGCTGATACCTACCAGAGTTGGTATCAGCAGCTACCTACCATTGTTTGATTAATATTCTCTATACTACACCATCTGGTAGAGACTGAAGCCATTGTACCTGACTTAAAAGTTACTTTTCACTTTTGCTGTCTTGCTTTTTTAAGCAACTCTTTAATCCGAGCTTGAGCATAAACTTTGGTTTTAGTAGAACTGGTGTCATTATGCCCCTTTTAGTGGGTATCTCAGCTCATCTGAGATACCCACCGTGATCTGACCCATTCATGCTTTTGTATTGAGAAAATCAAAACAAATCAGTTGAGCAGTTTATAGTCGGCCCCTCAGGTGATAACGTTACAGACAATAGTTTTGGTTTTTTTTAAAAAACGGTGATTACTTGGAATGAGAGGACAGTAAAACTTTAAATCACTGCATCAATTACCATCAGTTACGTACCTCCTGAGGTGGTGGTAACATATTGTTTTCCACCAGGTTTTACTATGTATGTTGTAAAAGGTATATTGGAAAATGATTTTTATTGTTGATTTTACAAATAGAGGAAGTCATTCAGCAAACTTCTTACACTTCATTGGTGTTGATGGAAGCTTAGCCTGTTACTAATATACAATGTAAATGTAGATGTATTTCCCTATGTTCTTGGACTTTTGACTGGAGCTACACAGCAAGTCATAGAGGTTTTTCTCTGCAGTTTTAAAAATGCTTCTTTCTTTTCTAAACCGAATGGAACCACTCAACTTAAAGAGAAGAGTTTATTCTTACAGACAGCTGAGGCTCCGAGGGTGACGATAATTGATCAAAACGACTGAGAGGGAAATCAGAAAACAGTATTCAGCTCCTGCCAGTGCATGACTTCTGCTGGTGTTTGCTTTCCAAACACAGTTAAGACTGACACGGGCTGAGCACACTCCCACATGCACCTGAAGAGTCCTAGTGTTGCCACAGTCCTGGATAAATCCTGTGCCGTGGTTGTCTGTCTGTAATATGACAGATCAGTTGGATCATCTGTTCTATATTCTATTGTCTTAGATACATTTGTGTATTGATTTAGTATTCACATATACACAGTTATTTCAGGAAGGAAGTTATTTTAAAGGAAGAGTCTGTTGCATGTTTAACCTAAGGAACACTGTCCCCACTAAAACTCTGCTGCAGTGAATTCAGAACTAGTTTTTGATTGGGCAAAACACTTAAAAAAACTTCATATTAGTATGAAGTTATTCATGTTACAATTATTCATCCACATTTATAGGATAACTGAAAATACTCATCAAAATGTAGTAACTACTAATAAAAAATCTAGGTTATTACTGGTTTAAATAAACCAAAAGACACAATTCTTTTCATTATGTGAATGGGTAAAACAAGTAGACAGTTTCCTTGAAATTGTTTAGTTTAGTTCTATTTAAACTGCCCAGTTTCCTAAGAAAGAGAAATATTCCAGAGATGATTAATTTCTGCTCATGCAAGAACATCCTCTGTGGCCATTGTTGAGGGATACTGGGAGTGGTCACCACAGAGAGTGAAGTGCTAAACTCTCTGCATCTCCCCTGGTGACCATGGGTGAAAGTGGTGCATATGTGTGAGTTTCCCCCAGGCTGCTGTCTTCACAGTCTAGATCTAATAGGCTCTGACAGCACAGTAATAAGGTAATAGTGGACACACACTGCGTATGTGTACGTGTACCAGCAGTGAACTATGTCCCGGCTGGACGATATCAGCTCAGTGTGAGAAACCAGGCCTCGAGGTTCTTGACCTCAATGTATGAAGGGTTTCAATCAGAACTCTGTTCCGGGCAGCTGTGTGAATTCACAAACATACAAATACATATGTATATTTAAAATCACATGTGTCATGTCATGCTATTATCCTGATAGTCATTCTGTAGGAGGAACATCATTTCTATTTAACAACTTACTGAAATTCAATGACTTATGCAAGCAATTGTTGGGTCCCACCACAATTTAGATCCTGGGGAAGTTGGAATTATGTTCCGCTCTGCAATACCACGGTTATTGGTTACCATTTGCACTTTTTGAAAAATGTGTTCAGTACACATCTGTATTGATACTGGACATCCTGTACCAAACAGTTTGGTAAGAAGTGTGTATCATTACACCACTAATAAGCATTTGTGACCTGCAAATACGTTTTAGAAACCTCATACATATATATAGTCTGATTTCCAGTCATATAGAATAACAAGGCTAAACAAGGCTAAATGGCAGAAAAGGTATGGTGCATTGGCATCGGTTGTAAACCCTTTTGCAGACACAAATATACACTGATACAGATACACTTTTCTGCTCTGGACTTTCTGAAATAATGATCAGAAAATGGAGCTCAGGTTTAACCTGTTTGGCGTAATGTTACTGGTGAAACTAAGCTTTTTTTTTCATTATGCAGCAAGTTAAAAAAAAGTTCAGAACAAATTATAATTTATTCCAAAGATTTTTTGCAAGGTGCTTGTACCACACAAACCCACTGTATTCACCAGCAAGCTATCATTAGCCTGAGGGAAACCCTGAAGTCATGTCTGTCAGACCAGCAGGTATTGGAAAGGATTTTATCTTGGCTTCTGCTGTGTGCACTCAGCAGGGAAAACCACCAGCAGGTGGGACCAGTTTGATTTAACAGTGTTCACTGGTAACCCAACACCCCAAAATACATGACTACGATTTTACCCATCTAGAAGGTCTTGGTTTAGTGTCGTGCTGGTGTGTTTGCCTGGTAACACTTATGATAGTACGTACAACAGTTCCCCTTGAACTCCATTAACTCCTGCCGTCACAGCAGTGTATTCCATTGAGATGATGGTACTATTTTTTTCTGGCCAATTTCTGCAAGTCTGACCTACAAACCTTATTTCCAGAAATAATTTTCAATAAAAGTAATAATAATAGTCAGCTAATAATAAATACCAATTCTGTTGTTTAATACTGTTACAGAAGTACCTGACTTTTGCAGTCTAAGGTTGTTGAGTTCCTGATAAATGGGTAAAGTGTAATATGGACACATTAAAATTATTCAATTTATGATAGATAGATAGATAATATTTCTGTCACATGTAAGAGAAATACAAGTGTTCTTGCCTGACACAGTGTTTGTTGTATAAACAGAACAATTAGTTGTCATCTTTTGTGAGGGACATTGAGCTATAATTACTGGGTGTGACCTAAATGTCAGATCTGAAAGAACAGCATGGCATGAGGAGATGATTTACTGCCAATACGTGATGATTTGCAACTTTGAAATGTTGTCTTTGTGTTTTGTTTGACTCATGCTTCACATACATATTTAGGATGCCTGTGTTGAGGTCTACTTGAATGGTCATCCTAAAGGTTCTAAACCTTATCTTTATAACACAAGCCGGAATTGTAACAGCTTGGGTCTTTTGATTCTTGACCAGAAACAGACAGGCCTCTTCGCAATGTGAAAACAAAAATTAATTTTGTTAAAACCAAAATTAAATGACACACCTGTCAGAATGTAGTAAGAAAATGGCTAGCTGAATTGGAGCAGCGTAATGAATACTTACGTAACTGTCATTCTTCCGTTGTGTATTATTCTAATATATGACAGGTATAACTTCTAGCTGGAGCAGATATTTGTTACTTTACAATTTCTGTATTTTTTTTTATCCTTTAGCCTGTCTCTGATCTTGTTCTACTTCTACGTCCGCCTAGCTAACTTGTTGTTGATGTTGACTTGTTCATCTGTCCGCGTTTCCTTCTGAGCTGCTCGTCTTCTGACCTCACTGCCTTTTTAGTCTTTGATTCCTTTGCTTCATGCGCGCCGCTCACTTCAGAAAGTGTCATGAAGCTTTTATGGACAAATGATACGCTTGTAATGGGGATTTGAATGTAAGTATATCGTTAAAATAAAGTAAATACAGCAATGCTAATATCACCTCTCCCTCTCTTCACAGCTCCTCCGCCCAGCAGATTCAATAGGAGAGTGTCAGGTAAGACGTGTGTGTTTGTTCGCTAGTATGTGTGTTTGACGTCATGTACTTGGTTTGTTATCAACACTAGCGGCTATGTCTAAGACGCTCACCTGCAGCTCCTGTTTGAAGTACGTGTATGAGTGTGTGTGTGTGTGTCTGTCTGTGTCATATACATGTGAATTGCTGCTGAGATGTAGTCTCTCTCTCTTTCTCTCTCTCTCTCTCTCTCTCTCTCTCTACAAACATAACCAGAGGTAAAGTGTTGGTTGTGTCCTCTACATTCTGTCTTGGAATCAGCCATATTGAGCATACTGCACTCTTTATTTTCTCACGCTCCACACATTGTTGACATATCGATAAGACTGTCGTCAGTCATTACGCGGCCCTGCACTTTGTTTAGGCCCCGGGTGTGTGAGCTGATTATCTTTACATTTCTTATCACTGTTGATAAAACCAGTGTCTAAGGGTTTATTGTGAAGTTTCTGGAGGTAGTTATGAGGTAAGTTGATAACCCTTTGACTAGTAGCATTGTATATATATTATATATATATACATATATATACATATATATATATATATACATATTAGCTTTGGGAAATTGTGTGAATACAGCAGATGGTATGTCCATGTTGTTAAAAATATTTAACATGCGTAAAGGTACATTCAACATAAAAACAAAAACACAAGGCCTGAAATAACCCATTATAATATACTACATGACAGTACAAACAACCCGTGCAGAAAACTCTTTAGGGACACAGGTCACAAAAACATTGTCAGTGTGCATCTGCTGTTTCTATTGTCTCCAAAATAATTAAAGAAATGACTCATCGTTCATGAAGCATCTTTTAATATGTTAGAAAATAATAACTAGGTTAAGCCTGTTCCCGCTCGTTAACAACCAAATTGTTTCCTGTGTGTCAGACAGTTTGTTTTAGTAAAGCATAAATGTTCATAATAATCAGTCAATTATGCTGTACTGCAACTCTTTGAGACATTGGCTGTATCTTCAAACAATTTCAGACAGATTAGGGATAATTGAACAAACAGCGTTCATTTCCTGCACAGTGAAAAGACAGACAGTGAAAACTGGGGGAAATATAAAATAAATTATGCAACAAAGACGAGCAAATACTTCTTTACAGAGGAGACTGCGGCCTGTATGCATTATTAGTTAATGGTCAAGTGTCCAAACAATGCTACGTACATCAGTCAGCTTTATCCTTCAGTCTTATACATTATAATTAAATCCATTCAATCTATAGACCCTAACACATTATCAGCCAATAGTTTAAATAATAATAACTAACCAAAACTATAACACAAACCAAAAGTGTGTGTGAGACCATGGATTTCTCACTAATATTTTGTAAAGTTAGTTGTTCAGTGGTCTGCAGTAGTAGTTGACATGTCAATGACATATGTCTATACATTTTTAAATGGTTTCTAATATAAATAATAATCAAGTATTTATCAATGCAGTACATTTGTTAAACAGGTTCCAGACAGGTTGGCCATATTTACATTAGATAACTAACAATGTCACATTGTTGTTTTCACAGGCGTCTAGGCAGATTAACTCTGACAATGAACACACACACACACACACAGACAGATTTTTTTCTGTATGTAATGAGATGTTTGCTCTTTAAAAGCCTTTACGGGAAACGACTCAGGGCTGTAATTGAATTTGTAGTCAGGACAGGTAGTGGAAGACTGCAACTGTAAACATTGCAGAGGATATTTCAGGCAGTAGGACATGGCCTTGGGGTTAGTTAAAGCTATCGGAGCTATTTAACTCTTATACCTATTTAATGACTTACAAACAAACTCCTTTTTTGTGAAACTGTCATTTAACACAGTGAGGACAACAATAATGTAAGTAACATTTTCAAGGTAAATGTTAATGTTAAATTAAATAAGGACTATTTGTCCTAAATAAGGGGAAAAAAATCTACAGCATTATAGCGTTCACCTTCACTGGTCACCTCTCATTAGAACAAATGCCAGTGCAGCACAGAGCAGACAGCAAACAAAGGCATCTGACCAACTTTGATGGACAGTAAAAAAACAGTTTGACGTCAAACAGCACAGTCATGGCAGACTGTGCATAGCAGCTGTAAACAAAAATACCTCCATGTAATCAGACCTGAGTGAAAGGGAGCTCGGCACGAAGCATTAACTGGCAGCTTATTTGTTTAACATCACAACTCAAAATCTTATCACAGCCTGAAAGAATAGATGTGATTTTCTGTCACCTTTGTTTTGGCTTCTGACTTTGAGAAAGAGAGAGAGAGAGCGAGAGAGCTTACTCCAGGTACAGCTAAAGAAATGCTAATATTAACTATATGCTATATTAATATAATATTAACTTTTGTACTGAAAACAATAAAACATGTTATAAAGAACAATGTTTGACAAGAAAGCCTGCCGTGGGTTTTACACTGGCAAAGAACAAATGAGTTCAGACCACTGTGAATCAACTCCTACTCCCCCATCATCACTGTGGAACATTTCAGAGGTCGTGCCGTTCTTTGGCATGATTGGTATTATGGATAAAGTGTACCACTCTCGGTTGTGCGTAAGCACACATCTTCAAGATGGAATAGCATGGAATGTTCCAGAGAAACAAGGCATGTTTCTGTTGAGCTGTAGGTAATGACGCCTTGGAACGACCTTGTCTGTGTTTTCCTACCAGGTGGTGAAACTTCACCGTGTGCTTCTCACTGTACTGCTGTCCTTTCTTTCCCTCTCCTCCCGACGGTCCCCTCAAAGGGGGTTATGCTGTTGTTATGCCATACCTTCCCTTGAACTTTTTCCTTTAAAGATATCTCTCGATTTAGGATGACTCTCTTGATAATTGATGCGACTATTTTCAAACTGCGGAGTTAGGATTTAAATAGACGGGTTTTTGAAACAGTGTTTCTCAAATGGAACTTGAAAGTGACAGATAATGTACATCCTTGGATATATTTATCTGTCAGAGAAAAATAGGTTTTTTCTGGTTTTCTAAGAAATATATTGGATGGATCTTATAAGTACTTGGTTGTTTTTCTGTTTAACTGACAGAGAATGGTTTGATTGGTAAAAAAAAAAAAAAAAATGGAGGACTGACTGACATCAAAACTCACGACTGAGGTACAATCAGGAGAGGTCGCAGAGCTGGTATTTGCCCTGCTCTGAGCCCCCGCTGTTTGAACATCCTAATGATGCCGCAGGTGGCCTTCTTCCACCAGGTTGTCACTGCCTGAGCTGGCTGCCCTCTTGTAGCTGCTGCTGTGTGATTTTATTTTGATTATGTATCCTTGTTGTCAAGGTTGGGCGGCGGCCTTGGGGGAAGCATCTACGTCACGGTCTGCTTTGACCAAATTTGTCTCTGGACTTCAGAATGCTCTCTCACTGTCAATGTTTGTGTTTGTCTAATTAGAGTGTAATGGCACAAGACACTGTTATTACAGGGCGTAATGAAGGTTTTCACGTCTGCATTCCAGTGTGTGCTGAGGCATTCAACCCAGATGAGGACGACGAGGACACAGAGCCCAGGGTGGTTCACCCCAAAACAGACGAGCAGCGTTGCAGACTGCAGGAGGCCTGTCGAGACATTTTACTCTTCAAAACGTTAGATCAGGTAAAGAATATCTCAGGGAAGAGAGAAAGTTCTCACATTTATTTCACAAGAACTGTAGTTAAATTATTTACAAATGAGCCTAAAGCAGGGACTCCAATCCCTTGTGCCATTGTAAGAGTTCAACGGGTGTGCTGTGAGAATATCACGATTTTGTGTTAACTAAAAAAGTCCAAGTCCATGCAGGCTTTGAGTACATTTTGATGTACAGACCATTTCTGAATATAAGTCGCAGCATCAGACAAACTACTCACATAAAAATCACAACTTACAGTAGTCTGGAAGTACATTGGTTTTATTTTTCTATAGATATCATTATACCTTATACCAAAGTTACAGCCAAAACCAGTGCAGCATTTTCAGTCTATTTTCAGGACTTTTTTTGCAGCCATAGTTCAGGAGAGGTTAACTGAGTCCATTAGTTCTGACCTGCAGTTAGTTCTTCTTCACATGCCAACTATAAAAGTGCACTTGAAAGATTCAGAGAGAGCCATCTAGTACAGCTACACTTTTATCCTCTTTTCTATTCATTCACTTTATTTGTCATTTATCCACCTAATGTGAGTCCATTACAGCTGTGTTCTTCTTGTATTTTAATGACCACCTCTGGACAAATCTCCTGCTGTTCATGTCTGTATTGATGTGATCACAGCGACAGTGTAAGGCACCAAAAACAGGCCAGTGAAAGTTTTCTTGTGAACATAGACTGGGACAAAGAAAAAAGAAGAAACGTCTTCAGCTCTGACAGCGTTGCAGCCAGACCTTCACCACATTTCCCTCATCTGTCTGCATCCTCAGCAACTTGTTTTTGTTGTTGTTTTTTTATCTTGTCTGGCATCAAAGAACTGTCTGAGAATTTTCCCTCGGAGTCTCACACAGAATCAGATGCATGTAAATCATAGTGGACACTTGTGTCTTCAAACGCAGAAAGTATGGCCACCGGGCAACTGCTGTTGTTCAGGTCAGATGATACACAACAGAGAAAGTGTTTATATAAATAAACGTTACACGTCGTCTATTACCTCGGCCTAATCTGCATGTCATTTACTGGCTTTAAACTTTGTTGAAAAGTGCACTCCATCATTTACTAACTGTTCTGTTCAACGTCTGTGTTGACTTGTAGTACATCATGTTTCCTCTGGCAGAGCAGGATGGGTTTTTTTGTAATCCATTATTTTAAATTGTTTTTTTAAACGTTTTTAAAACTGCTTTCCTTTGTTGACCAGGACGCACCTGTTATTTGTTTGAATAAATCTGTGTAATTATGGAGGCTTCAAATCCCAGGGGCAACAATAATCGAAAATTGCTTTTAAAATGGAGTCCGAAATCAAATTTAAAAATTGGTTGACTCACAGTGTCATGAATAAAATTAAAATTCCCGGTGTGGTTTTTGAATCATGACAGAGAGAGTGGTGGCAAAGTAGAACATTTTTACACTCATCAGGAATTACAGCTGCATCAACTAAATACAAATTAAATTGCAATTACTGGGAATCACGATGGAAGACGATGATCATGTTTGCAGCTAATTTTACGGCGTAATGGTGATTGTGCTTTCTGGTTATACATAACGAAGAGTTAATGCTCTCTTTGTGAATGGTGCGCTGCTAGCCATAGAAGCTGGTTTGAATGCATTAAAGCCTTTTTATATGGCAGAGCGAAAGTGCACCACTGTAAACAACAACCTTGTAGCTTCACTTTTGTCTTGCATCATTGACACGCTGTCTAATGTTTTTTTAAACCCATCCAGGAGCAGTTCTCTCAGGTGCTAGATGCCATGTTTGAATCACGGGTTCAGCCCCAGGAACACGTCATCGACCAGGGCGATGATGGAGACAACTTTTATGTCATAGAGAGGTAGGAGTCGTTCTCCTCAAAAGCAGCTTCCCTCGTATATTGTTAATGTCATCGTCATACAACATGTTTTAAACTCCTTAAAGCCCAAGGCACATAGAGAGGTTTCTGGTTTAATATTATTTTCTTCTTTTTCTTCTTCTTCTTATTATATAACCCCTTACAAACATGCTGTTGAAGAAGAAACACTCAAGTAAACACCAGATCAATATTTCAACATGACCTTTGAAACTGCCAACATAAAGCAGAACACAGCAAGGCCTATGGCATCTATAACAGTAAAAATTAACTAAATGATTTGTTTGTTTTTTAATGATATCAGGTTTTGATGAAGATGTCTGTAGAGTTCCATTTGTATATAAGTTGCCTTTATGTCCTGTAATCTGTATATACTCACTACTGTGCAACACACACGTTGCTTCATTAGCTCCTGTTACTTTAAGAGCAGCCTACCAGGTCATACCCTAATTGTCCCTGCCTTTTCTTTTGCCTGTTATGTGTAGGTGGATGTTAATGTCACCATTAGGGTGGAGTGTGAGCACGAACACAGGGAGGGAGGGACAGAAAGGCAAAAACAAAAGCCATCACCTCATAGAAGTCGGTCCTTTTTTTCTGTTGTCTGTTGGTTGTTAGAACTGGGGGGGGGGGGGGGGGGGGGGGGTGTAGAAGACCCCTGCAGTCCTGCTGTACTTGACACAACTTTAGTCCAACCGCACTGTTCAGTTCAGACCTTTCTCACATCAAGTGTAAATGCTAAAAATAATCTGCAGTAATAGAATAAACAATGGCTTCTTCCTGATTTTTATTTTCGTTGTTTCCCTCTACAGTCTTTTTAAAATACTGGGAACTAAAAGGTCAACGTCCAGCTGACGTCCTCAGCCAGCTTTCCTTATTTATGCCTGGTCCATCATAGTGCTTCTATGTTTGCAGTGAATACAGCAGGTCCACCACTAGATGATGATGTTAGCGTAGGGGAGTGACATCGGTACTGAGGGGCAGTAGGTGAGACCCCCTGTGTATAACCCTACCTGGGCTGAAGTTAGAACGTTATCTTTAAAAGAACTGCAGCATCATTTTCATTCAGGTCCTGCATTCTTGTTTATCCTTTTAAAGAATAAAAAATCCACTGACCTGAATTTGAACTGAGTTTGGGTTTTGATTAGTCACGAGTGAGTTTATGAGCAGAGAAACTCTCAGTTCTTTAATCAACAGCGGGTTTGAATTCAGCAGAATCGTTACTTGGAATTCATAGCTGGATAGAGCTTTCACAGGTCTGTACCTCAATATAAATAACACACCATCTCACAGTAAAAGTGATGTGTGGATATTCATGATCAACTGTTCTCAGCAGTGTCCACTACAGAGGACATGGTCCCTCTCATCACTGTAATCCTGTCAAACTAAGTAATTCCTAAAACCCCAGCAGCAACAAGATCCTTAATCCTGCTATTAACCTAATGGAAGAAGAGACTGGAGGAATAACGCTGCACATTAGGAACATAATTATATTGACATGCACTTGGGGCACCTCTTCTCTCTCTCTCTCTCTCTCCACAGGGGTATATATGACATTGTGGTATCAGGAGTATGTGTGGGTCAGTACAATAATAAGGGCAGCTTCGGGGAGCTGGCACTCATGTACAACACGCCACGTGCTGCCACCATCATTGCCACCCAGGAGGGAGCGCTATGGGGCCTGGTAAGAACATGAAAAAGAGAAAACAGACATTAAATGTAAGAGCAGCATATGACTAAAAAATAATGTGTCTTGGTTTATTTTCTGGGTCTTTAAGATCAAAGATAATCTCAGAATAATCTGAGGAATTCCTGAATATCCAGCATGGGTTCACCGCCCAGTCCACAGTTACAGCACATTGATGTGTGAAGCCCATCCATGTTAAGAATGAAGTCGTTTTGATATGAATGGAGCCAGGGTTCTTCTCATGTAGTTAATGCTGCTGTTGCTCCCCCGTGTGGTCATTTAGAGAAGAGGAGGCAACAGTCGGATAGAATCTTGACTTCAAGTGTTTGTCTTTCTCAGGACCGTGCCACCTTCCGTAGGCTCATTGTGAAGAACAACGCCAAGAAGAGGAGGATGTACGAATCGTTCATCGAGTCTGTGCCCTTACTTAAATCACTGGAGGTGAGGTTATTATCCTGGTAAATGGAAACACAACCAGACAGGTTGGAATAATGACAAAAAACACCTTTACTGTAGTTGAATATCATTATTGAGCCGTTCTCGCTCGTCTTTTCTCTGTGCAGGCAACAGAAAGGATGAAGTTAGTGGACGTACTAGGAGCGAAGCAGTTCTCAGATGGCGAGCGAATCATCACACAGGTATGACCCAGAAATAGCTGATCTGGGTTCACAGAGACAGAGACTCCAGCATTTCTATTCCTAACATAACTCTGACTGCCCTGTCACATTTTTGAAAAAAATGTGTGTTAACGTGTGTTTTTCCAGGGAGACAAGGCTGAATGTTTCTACATTGTAGAATCTGGAGAAGTCAAGATCATGATGAAGAGTAAAGTACGAACCTTCTTCTTACCTTTTTCAACTGCATTTTCTGTTTGACTGTGATTTTCAAGCTTAAAATTTTCATTTTAAAAACCAGTAATGAATGAAATCATTAGTTCTCTGCTCACAGGCGCTTTAATAACGTCTAACAGGAGACCTGTTGGTTCAGGATGTGCCGTCTTCTTCCATTTACTGTTCAGGGGATTTTGACAGTGACAGCCCACACTAGCCATTAAAAGCTGCCAGAATACAAAAGTGTTTTTGCCTAGCAACAGCGGGAATCACAATAGTCTCAGCTGCTCCGCAGAGCTCACTGGAGGTGAACAAGAATGAGGTACTCAGAGCTTCCTAACCTTTTAATCCCCCGACTCTTCTCATCTGTCCTCCCCGCAGACAAAGGCAGGCCATGCAGACAACGCGGAGGTGGAGATAGCGCGCTGTAGCAGGGGTCAGTACTTTGGGGAGCTGGCCTTGGTCACTAACAAGCCCCGGGCCGCCTCGGCCTACGCAGTCAGCAGTGTGAAGTGTTTGGGTAAGACAGAACAGTTTTAAACCCTTTTGTGTGGTTTGACATCCAATCAGAACTGACAGTGATGGTAATGTTCCCTGTTTTAAAGTAATGTGCAAAGTGGAGGTTGTTTTTTTTAAAAAAAAAAAAATCATTAAAACATGTGTATGATGATGCTTTTTCAAGACTTAGAATAGAATACACACACCTTGAAGATTATAATTAAAGGACTTTCCATATAAATATATATATATATAACTTGAAATGAAATTATTTACACTGTTTTATAACAAAGTGAATGTGCAGTACATCTCAATACAAATTTTAAAGCAATACATTTGAATCAACCACACAAACCCAGACTGATCCTTTTGTATGAGTCATGTATTTGCACAGTTGTTGAATAATGTCAAGTGTCTGTTGTTTTCATTCGCTCACACACAGTTCGATGGCTCTTCATCTCATTCACCATAACCTTTTATTTTCATTATTCAGTTCATTTCATTTTTATTTTAAGTGGGTTTATTATTTCATCCTCTCCAATAATGACCTGCTCTTCACTTTTTTTATAGTTTTTTTAATATTTTGTCAGAATTTCACATTATTGGATTTAGACTTTGATAGCAGATGTGATCAGCGATTGTCACGGAATTAATTTTCTTTACACACTTTTTACACCTGTGTTAGTTTTTCTATTAGAAGCAACATTTTTTGGGGTGGGAACAAAAAGACAGTCGATGATGATTCAGCTCAAACTATGTCTAACTTTCTCTGCTACTCTGTCCCACACTTTTCCCCTGTCTCCCTGCAGTAATAGACATCCAGGCGTTCGAGCGCCTCCTGGGCTCCTGTAAGGAGATCATGAAGAGAAACATCGCCCACTACGAGGAGCAGCTGGTAGCCCTCTTTGGTTCCAGCATGGACCTGAGAGACTAAGCCTCCCACTCCGCCCTCTGTGCCTTCTATCACACACACTCGTTCTATCTTACACACGCACACACACACACATATACAGAAAAATCAACAAACACGCACATCTTTACCATCTTGCAGTTCTTACAGACTCACAAGTTGTACACATTCATTCCAACACATTAGAATGTTGTACGTGGTCCACTTGCAGGTACAAATGTCCTCCCAACACATGAAATCACACACACACACACACACACACATATACTGGCACCTAAGTGTATGTATAGGCACAAAGAGGTGCCAACTTTACCCACGTGCACATGCTGACACACGGACACAGCTAACTGAAGGACACACACTGTTTATTGAGCCAGCTCAGTATGAAAAAAGTCCATGATGTAATGACCTTAATGCGGGTGATGCAGTGTGAGGACAAAGGACACACACACACACACAGGTATAAACACACTCCTCATTTATAAACACCTCATGTTTTACACAGGCCGGCTTGACACGAGCACTTAAAGAAGTCAGTCGTTCCAACAATCCTCAGCCAAGGACACATTTCTCACACACTCCCCACACTGAAACACACAAACACATACAGATATTCAAACACACAAAAACACACATACAAGCAGCCACACTTGCAAAAATGGACACATTGTGGTGAAATGGTGACAGAAAAACGTTTAAAAAATCTCTGAAAAGGAAAACAAATAAAATGCAAAAAAAAAAAGGTGATACGTTTAAAGACGACAAAAGTTTTAGAAATGTTTTATGAAGACAAAAAAAAAAAAAAACAGAAGCTTTGATAAAATATTATTTAAATAAAAAAAGTGTTTCCTCTTCAGGATGCCGGAGCGCAGAACTTTGTGGTTGCGTTTCCATTTCTTCCTCTACTGTTGTTGATTGAGTTAAGTTGAGTTAGTGCTGGTGATTATTGAAGTACCACAGAAGAGCAGTGGGAAAAAAAACCCAACGAGACGTCCGTGTTTTTCTGGGACATTGTTACTCTATTATTGACGCCACACTTCATTGTATTAAATTAATTATTAATGTATTATTATATATTCATTTATTATTTTTGTTTTGTTTTGACCAATTCTGATAAAAAATAATCTATCTCTGACAAATGTAAAAAAGAGAAAAAATCTAATAAAAACAACAGTGCTTATTTCTTGTTGATAATCCTTGAATGAGTTATCCTGGATAAGAAAAAATTGAAAAAAATAAAAAACATTTTGCTAAAATCCTCTGCTTCTTTGAAGTTCTACTTGCTCTCTGTTCATGTCTGAACTTTATTTGCAGTTTTAGTCAAGCACTAAATAAAAGTGCAAATTTATATTAGGGTGTTAAAGCCTGAAACAGCAGGTGATAAACAGGGATTTACATTTATGTTGAATTGGTAAGTGGTCTGTAAGAAAACATTAGGTTTTTACCATCTACCTACTGGGAAAAACCACTAGTATAAACTACTACATCTGGAATTGATTGACAACCCTCCTGATATATGACAACTGCACTAATCACCGAGCTGCAGCTGCACTATTACTGTTGACACTGTAGAACACTTGTTATTTAAAACCATGAAATAGTAAGGCTGATGTGGAGCAGCAATGGTCAATGTTTTCTCTGGGTAAGAACACCTAGCAGCATTGTTTTACATCAGAGTATTTATTGTATGGATTTTTCGTGTTTACTGGATCACACAACATTTAATGTTTTGTTTAATATTTGTAAAAATGAAAGATTTAAGTATAAAATCACTTTGTTTTTTTTATTTTTTCATTTTAGTTTTAAAGGTAAAAGCTGACGTTACTATTGTTTCTTTTTATTTGAAGGATATTCAAAAGACTACTCTGTCCACATAAAATAAGTATGTACCTCAGAGACATGGCTATGATTAAAGGTCTTTCAGATTTATGTCAATATATTCACTACTTTTGTTTTTGAATATAAATATACACATTGTTTGTATTATGCAACCTCCATACACTAGATGGCGAACGAGTTTTGTGACCACTGAGTTTACTGCAGCATTTCCTGTTTCAGAGAGTTCAGTAGTTGCCGCTTATAAGAAACTGATTCTGGATCTGATTTTACCGGCAGCAATTTGCTACGACAGATCTTGGTAGATGATGAATCCAACTGACACAAGGTCAGCGGTCACATACACCTACGAGAGGAGGGCAGGAACTCATTGAGTCGAGCCGCCCGACCAAGCAGCATGTAAGTAATGTTTAATGTTAGTGAGACATTAGTTCACTAATAAACACGTGCACGTTGTAGGTGTTTTTAAATAATAAATGAGCGTCTGCTACTAAGTTGAAAGTGTAATTGAGACCATCAACATGTAGCTCTCAGCTGTCACTGCACTCATTTACCTTACATGGAAGTAAGGTAGCGAGGGAGAGAACATTCAAACAACGGTTTTAGAAAAACAAGTTTAGAAAGTTTAGAAAGTTTAGAAAGACAATTACGATTCATGCATACGAACAAAGCAAAGCCATCGGAAATAAAGTTAGATTGAATCGGTTTTTGGGCTTCTCAGTTAACATTACTGCAGCTCGTTAGGCTACAGTCGTCAATAACACACCAAACTAGCATGTAAATGGTGCTATACTTGTATTACATGTTTAAATTAAGAAAGTGTTATTGCTTAGAAATACAAGTACACATTATGCTATTAGGACAAGTTTTTTCATTGAAGCGTGAAGTGTCACACCAGCTGTAAATTTCAATGTCTTGCTTAAATATATTAATATTCCACCATACACCAAAACTACAGAACTGAGGAAGTGCATTTCTATATCACTGACATTTTTCTCAGTTTAAATTCGACTGACTATTAGTTAAACCCTGATCACCACAGGTCTGAGACAATAACATCATCAGTGTCCAAACCACTGTCTGAAGAGGAGTTACATGTTGGTCTAAGCAACGTCACTCTGTCAGAGACTCAGAAACACAATGATGAAAAGAATCCAGACACGAACTCTGACCAACCAGGGAGAATCCATGTGGTTCCGATCCACCGACGTCCAGATCTTCTGGTCCCCTGTGCTGACCTGGTCAACTCTGAGTGGCAGAGGAGTCCAGCTGCTCGGATTCACACTCTGCAGAAGTCCTGTCCAGAGTTTCCAATCTCCTTGGTTCTTCTACAGGGTCGCAAAGAGAAGGAGCGGGTGCTCGGCCACGTCAGGCTCTCCAGGGTCGTGGGTCACGGCAACAGCCTCTTTGTCGAGTCGGTGGTTGTGACCAAAGTGGAGCGAGGGAAGGGCTACGGACGGACATTGATGGAGGAAACGGAGCAGTACGCAAGGAGTCGAGGGTTCAAGCGCCTGTGTCTCACCACCCATGATAAACAGCACTTCTACGCCCACCTGGGCTACGTCCTGTCCACACCGGTGCAGAATGCAGGTTCCATGACAACATTTATGCCCATGGAGATGCTGCTGAAGTTCTCCAGGATGACAAATGAAGAAATGAGCAACCAGAAACCATCGAGGACACTGACGGATGCTCAAATACCACCAGACAGTGCTCCTTCTTCAATCCCTGCTCCTCCGCCACCACCTCCTCCTCTTCCACCTTTTTCTAAATGCATACCACCTATTGCCCCAACCTTTTCAACCACTGCTTCTTGTCCACCACCACCACCACCTCCTCTTCCTTCTTCTAATTACAGAACTTCTACTACCTTCACCACTCCTCATCCTCCTCCACCACCTCCACCTCAGTCTAAAGGGCAGCTTGTAGTTCAGACCCTGACTGAAACTCCCTACAGAGACGCCAAAGGAGTTCCAATCTTCTGGATGCACAAAGACATTTGATGGACATTATATTACAGACATTTGAAAATGCAGAGAAGGAAAAAGACCTCTACATTTCCTGCTATATTTTTGGATTACAACACGACAGAAATGGACATGGACGGAAATAAAGAAAATTAACACTTGACATTGTGAACAGTAACTGTAACTTTTCAGGAAACTCTTATTCTATATTTCACTGTGAATGCTATTTTGGCAAAAGGTCAACATGAAATAGAATACTATTTTTTTTAAATAAATATATTTTATCACTGTAGATATTTAAACAGGACAATTTGTCCCTGTAATGTTAGCTCATCTGGAGCTGAGACTCTGTTCAGCTTGAAAGTTAGTTTTGACCTCAGAAGATCACGAAAAATAACTTGAAGATTATTGAAGCTGCTTTGCACCATTATGTGCTGAACTTAATTTTCTTTTGTTGTTGTTGTTACATCAAAATATTAAAGGTAAATATTGAAGGTGCTACTGTTGAACAACAAGATTTTTGGTTTTTGAAATTTTCTGGAAATAAATGTATTTCTGTTACATTTTACTTTGTGTTTTTTCATCTTTCTAGTATGTGTGTGTGTGTACTGTATGTATATATGTATATATATACACACACAAAGCAAAAAAAGCAAGTTGCACATGTGAAATTATTAAAAACGTTACATTTTAATTTTCCAGTTTTTATGAACACATTCAAAAACAATCCTGTCTATATTTACATTCTAACAAACAGCATTTAAAGCACAAATGCTAATTAAGTTTGTGTGAGGGGGTGTGTAGTTTCCTGTGCTGTGTTGACGTCAGGTCCCGCCTCCTCTGGTCACTGTCAGGTTGTGTCTCAGTGCCTGCAGCTCTTGGATCAGCTGTGACAGCTGTGTGGCTGCAGCTTCTTTCTGCCTCACTGCTTCTGTCAGCCTCTGTAATGCTCCGCCTTGTTGGACTGGAAACAGAACAGACACAAAACACAAATGCAGTCGAACACGGACAAATACTGTATTGCAAGGATGCACATGTGGAGTGTGTCTCCATGACGAAGCTCTCAGTTGGGACATCACGGCACCTGACAAAACATCTA